AAAATCGTTGCATTCAAATGCTGTTGTGAAAAAGAAAGTTTGACGACAATTTGTGAAGCTTCTTAAAAATCTTGGAGTCAAGAAATGAATGAGGATAAAGTTGCATGTACGACAGATGTGAACAATTTGAAAATGTTTATTGATTATCTGGATTTTTGAGATTACTATATGAAAACATGATAAAGGATTTCACTGTGATTATTTCTTAACTGTTGATTATCTGAGAATTGACTGCAGTATTAACATTTATACATTTTTCTCCAATTTTTTGATTGCCCTCAGGACATCGCGTGTAGTTGGCCTTTTTGATCTATCCATCCAACAAGATTTCAATAACTGTAAATAAAATTAGAATAAGTTTTTTCAACAGAACATGATCGCATCAGATCATCTAATGCGATGCCACTATGATGGCGAAGAAATGCATTGAGTGAAATAAGCTGGACGTCACTAAGTCTGTTCTCGTATCAAGAAGTTATAAGAAAACACAAGCAGTTCTGCTGAGAAACAAAGATGCTGTTTCCTGAATCCCATTGCGTTATAGTGAATGTGGATTATTATTGTGCAATAATTAGGGACAATTATAACGTATTTAGAAGGATACTTGAACTATAATTTCAGCTACTTGAAGCAAATATTAGAGGCTTTGAAGTCCAGTCCTGCATATGGTAGGAATCGTTGATGACTAACATCAGTAGTCAAACGGACGAGAATGCTTATAGGTTGTCATTAGAAGACTCTATCAGCAGCTACCTAAAGACATGTTGAACAGCCAAATCGTCACGAACCTTTGAAAACCAGTAATTAAGAGGGGAGCGCAGTGGTGGGGTGCCATAGTGACACGCAGGTCCGAATCAGTTCGCGGCCACCCCCAGGCCTACAAATCCCGCAATCACTTGCTTAGTTAAATTGGTACTATAGAAATGTGAGTAAGATAACTAGCACCGACTTGGTGAAGTTTGGTCAACTGAAATCACGATATCACGTTGAACACGAATACGTAGGCGCATCCAGCCACAAGGGATTGATCAACGCCAAAGCTTATATTATCCTAATCAGAAGAAGTGTAGAAACTAGATCTATCACAAAGAATCTGGTAAAACGAATGTGATACGTATCTGATAAACAGCAAACCTCAAGGATTCCATCCGGCAATAGATCGTCAATAATGTCAAATGTGAAGTTCTTTCGGTATTCTCTATTTCGTATCTCATAGCTGTTCTCATTTTCTAACGGTATAGAACCTGTAAGTACGCGTAGTAGTCTTGTAAGAATTTAGTCCTTTTTAGCACTAGCTAAATAGAGTTCTTTTAGAAGGTACCAAATAGTGCAACAAAACCGAGCATTTGACCTAGTGCTTTTTTAACATGGGTGACGTATAAATCCTTTCTATTTATTAGGACAGAAACGAATTTACTTTATTGCAGTATATCCACTACGAGCAAGCTGCATTTTATAAACACCTTTTTTTTTCCAGACTTTGGAATTGTTCTTATCTTTGTTTGTGGTCTTATTATTGAGAAGATCCTCAATAAATGTCGAATCTTCTTACCCACTTCTACATTGATGGTCTAACTGGGGTTGGTGCTATTGAAGAGTTTAAGGGATTTCCTCCGCAATTTCAGTAATCATACTCACATGTATGCTTTTAAAAGTCATTGAAGCGCGTGGTGATCTATTGGTCAGGGTTGGCCGCTAACCTGATTCGGGCCTTCGTGTCAATTCGCCACTTCCACCACTACGCCATGCCCCATCCAGTCAATATTACAAAATTAATACTTATCTGCTGCCATCCCGATAGAATTTTCTTTATAAACAAAAACTCCTCAAATCAACGTTTTTGAAATGTTGAAGACATTTTGTCTATAGGAAAAAAGTAGTCCTCGAAATGAACGCTTTTCATTATTGGTCCTTCCATTGTATGTAAACAATGAGGTAACCTTTGTGAAACATGCTCCACATCATAGTTGCCAACGTCCAAATTACTGCTTTTTCATCGTATGGCTCTGGTTCGACACCGTCGTCTCCAGCCAGACATTCCCAAGGTATCCAACTAAAACTATTGTTGTTTAGATTTTATTTTTATTATTATAACTCATTACTGATGGTAATGAATATAAAATTAGCGTTCATAAGACTCAGTACGACTGGCTAAATTATTTTCATCATGGAGGAGTTTATATGCATACAAGGGTCCATACACTGATTTCGATCGCTGTTTTAAGTGTGAAAGATAGAAAATCAAGAATTTTATCTCTGTTGATGTTTGGCGGCGCAAATGTGCAGTGGTGGAGATGCCACAGTGACACACAGAGCCGAATCAGTTCTTGACTGCACTCCATCCCTACCAAGCCCGCCATCCATCCGCAGTTGGTAAATCGGTACCAGAGAAATCTGGATTAAATAATTAGCGCTGATTTGGTAAAGTGAGGCCGATTTAAGTCACTGTATAGAGGCTCGCATTCAACCACCTCCATGATATTACATTGAACATGAATGCGTAAGCACCAAAAGAGATTGATCAACGCCAAAGCTTATCTTGCCTTATTCTATTTTATTTAACAGAATCATTAGACTCAATGACTAAATTTCATTGTCATACATTATATTAACGATTTCAAGCCAACTAGATAGCTTAGACATATTCGTAATTTCATTTCGTTCTGCAATGATATTATACTGTCCGCAGTTGTGCTGAGATGTCCGAAAAACCCGGGACCTCAGGCGGACTCGAACCCGCACTTACAGATACCCGGCCTGCCGTGCTGGTCTATTACACTACCGAGGCCCTTGCTCTACGATTACGCAGTACTTCACTGATAATAAGTGAGTACCATTATTAGCACTCGCCCGTTGAGTTTTGCAGCTATCTCACCACAGCTACGGATATGTTAGCTTATTTCAAGCGATAAAATATAAGAATAGAAAAATCTAAAGAGACGGGAAAAAACTACAATTTCCGCTTATTCAGTTCATGAACTGATTTCGCTGACATGAATGGCATCTCAGTATATTTTTAAATATACCGATAACAAACTAACCGACAACGTTCGACATCATCTAAATATACGCGCTTCGGAACTAACCCAGTTGAAAGCCCAAACACCACCACCTAAACATCTGACAAAAACGTGCAGCATTTGGTAAGTAGCGCTTTTATTAATTTAATACTGAATTAATTGTGACTTCTGAAATACTAAATTAGTTATAACTTCAATTATTAAGCATCAGATTGTAGATCAAAGCATCATTCTCTTCAAGTCCTTCGTCACAAGACAACCGGTGAGAGGCAACAAAATCCCAATCCAAACATGAAGTCACTGAGAAGAGACAAACGAACATTCCTAAATCGGAATTAAGAGCTTTTTTGCATTTATAACGCCAGAATAGTCTCTGCAGACGCCGATCTCTAAGCACTTCTTGGGGCTGCTGGTCACGTCGAATTTCGTATAATCCCTCTAAAGGAGAAGAAAAGTAAGAAAAACGACATACGTAAATTAAATGCGATACCCTTATCATTCTATGGTCGACCGTTCTTCGCTAGCAGCTTCCAAAAAATTTTAGATCATCTACTGCTACTCACCAACTAGTACAACTGATGATAATCAAGTACCGTTATTTAGTAACAAGCTGGAGGAAATAATCCGCAAAGAAAAGTCGCTTTACAAATTTTTTGTTGGAAAATTCAATGCGAGAATGGAATCGACCAATTAGAAGAAATGCCGGATCGGAAAATTTGGAATAGGATAACAGAACGAGAATGGAGGCCGTCTAACAGGACTTCTATCTGCCGCTCGTCTCTTCTATGAAAATTGAGATTCAACAATGGAGAAAATTGCTGGTGGACATGGAAGTCTCCTAACAGCACCATTTATGCGGATACTGACTATGTTTTCACGAGCAGGAGATGATGATTCTTTGATACATCAGTGGTACCTAGCATCTGTACCGGATCAGATGATCGCCTTCTAACAGGGAAGATTCGATCCATCCATGAGCTGGAAAAATTTTTCTGTGATTGCCCAAGATAGGCAAAATTAGTCGTGTACGGCGAAGACAATTTTAACAACATATTCATTTCAGGGAAAAAGAATTGGAGCTCGCCTTAATAGGACAATGACTCCGATAATGAAAAATCCATGGTGCGAAGAGCAACAAATTAGGTTGGCTAGATATCGACTATAGAGATCACCTCGTACATTTACTTTGGGTGCTCAATGAATAGGGAATACGGTATGAAAGAAGAATTTGATAGAAGGAGAGCAGTGTGTGAAGCATTTGGGCTACTTAAGCAAGTTACCAACTGGCTGACATCCCCGAAACTCCGCATTTATCTCTTTGAATCGTCGATCCTATTAGTGCTCTATCATGCTGCCAAAACTTAGACTGAATTTTCAATCTCATGCACTTTCCACAGAGCGCCTGAACAATGTTTTCTGAGACTTAACCGGCATTCACAACATATAGTCGGAATGGATAGCGCAGATTTTTGGAATATATCATATCTCTGACATCCAGAAGATTATACATCGATGAGCACGCATGGGCCGCTTATATAGTGAGAAGCGCAGATGGCAGATAGAGGGAAAGTAATTTGAAGCGGATTCCATGAACCTCCTTGGACAATTGTCCAAATAATTTGCTGATCTGTTCCTGACAAGCACTAACCATCTGCATCCGTAAACCAATAAGAATTTGAGTTATTGAATGAGCTTCACGTACTTCATTACGTTTGGCGGAAGCCACAACAGATGAAGGCGATAGCACAAAAGAAAAACGAGTATAAATCATTTGGGATCCGCACTAGCATTGAAGCTTGAACATTAATTGAGTACTCCTTGTATTTAGTTATGTCTTGCCATATGGAGAAGCACTATATCTTAACATTACTAACATTTCCTCCTCATTTGAGGGTTTCAACTATCAGTTGAATGAATGATTTATGTGATAATACAGGTACAGTAGTACCATGCAGCTTCCGAACCCTAACCAATACATATTGTATTGGCCGGGAATAGAACCCGGGTCACTCAAGTAGCAAGTGAGCATCCTACCACTGTACTACGGGTAATAATACGGCTTCTAATCTTTAACCGAATGTATGAAATCATTAACAGAAACTTACTTTAAAATTTTATTTGCTGACAACAAGCAAACGTCAATAGAGAGTTTTTTATGAATAAATTTGAACCGTTCAAAAAAATCAATGGCAGTTATCATATGACGAGCAAATTTTAGTAACTGAAAATAAGAACACGATTTAACCAATTACGATATTGTAAGAATGACATGACATATTCAGTCTTCTGACAACTATGAGATTTGAGCTTCAATTCGAGGTGTAATTGAAACTCTATTCTATTTTTTGCCTTATTTAGTTTAATCTAGCTTTAATCATAAATTACTATCGGGTATAAAATCACAATGAAGTAATTACGACCAAGAAACGAAAAGAAATGTCGTAAAGAAGTAGGTATTAAAAAAGTGTTTAATATCTTTCATGACACGATCTGTTCAAATGAATTTTAAATGTGGGTTATTTTGAGGGCTATGAGGTTCACTCCTTATTTTAAAGCATATATGGAATTTCTGAAGTTTAGTTATAGAAACTAAACTTATAACCACTATTATCTTGTAATCGATGCTAGAAAGCTTAATCCTTATGAGTAATCGATGCTAGAAAGCTTAATCCTCATGAATAATAATGGAAATAAAAGTGGAAATATATTGTAATCAATTTAGTATATTTACAGTTATATTAAAGAACTATTTTTAATAAATTCATGTTGAATATAAAGCAACCTCATATGAATTCCTCGATTCTTTTCCTACATACTCAGATAGCGAATTGACTGCGAAATCTTCTAGTAGAATTGTAATTTTGGTGTCAGTCACAATACTTCCCCATAATCGTTGAGTGTTTCTGGAAGATAACCGACCAGATGATGGATGATGACCTTCATGAAGTAACAGCTAAGAATGAAATCTATAAAAAGAAAAACTAGCTGCCTTTTGAAGCCAACTACGAATACACCACCAACAAGTTCATGGTCTTCTTATTCTTCAACAACAATTTTTTTCAAACAATACCAGAAATTGGTATCAATTTGAAAAAGTCATATGAGGAAAAAGATTCTTCTGACATCTTATGTTGCTGAGTTAACGACGAAAGCAAGAAACTGTTACTAGAGGAGCTTTTATTTCACTATGGTGTCCCACTAATTGTACTACTACAGTGCTTTTATTCAATGATTCACTAACGTCTCAATTCTGATATATCTGGAAATCTAGGTGATGTTTGATGTGATGCATGTCCTAATCCCGTCCGACCGTCTGAGGCTTCGTGTTTTGTAATTAATTTAGCGATATGGAATATTGAAATCGTCGTTATTGTTTGATTCAAATACTTGAGAAAGTAGTAAGGTGTTCAACCTCATAACTCACATACAGCCAAAATTTCTATAGTTAACAAGATCGTTCAGAATCACATTTCGTTCCTCTGGTCTCAATTCGCTAGCCACTACTGCGACGACGCGAATAGATTTTTTCGATGGTAAAACAATCTCTTTTCTTTCCACTTTTCCAAAGTCGTATACGTTTTCGAATGAGTACGGTTCGGAACTTGGTAAAGATGAAAGCTGAATAAAGTCTTATGCTAATTTTATTCTATTCCATCATCTGAACGTTATTGTCATCCTGAAAGGAACACGTATAACAAACCTCTTCTTCTTTCCAAATGTATTGTCTACAAACGGGCTGTAAGTTCTCTTCAACGATAAATCTATTAAGTTTCCTTGCCGAACCACTAATCAGCAGTTCATTAGCAGCACATTTTACCTGATGAGAAAAAATGACAAATAAACATTTGACTCTTCCGTTTAAAATCGACACAGCTACCTCATTCTAGACAGAATCATTAATGAAACATTTACATGAAAATAATTGGCTGTAAGATATATCCCATTTTCCAATTCTTAATATACTTTATTTTCCATGCTGATTACCTGAGGCAGTTTCTAGGATTATATCGTTGAATTGAATAATATCACTAGATAGTATACTACTATACTACTATCCTAGTACTTCACTGGTACTGAAGCTCAATCATTCCGTAGTATTCTGTTGACTGTTACGAACGATGAAACGAATGAGTGTAATGAGTTAAACTGTCAACGTTGATTTTCCATTCAAATTATAACTGGATATTTATAAATATTACAATTATATCTATAAGCGCTACGAAAGAAAAAATGCTGAGTAGTATTCTTTGGAAATTTGACTAGATGAGTGCTGATGTCTCAGTGCAAGTACTTTGTACTGCAAGCGATAGTTGCGCTAGTGTTGATCTTCGTGATCCCTATAAGGGATGTGAAATCGACAATTCAAAGCCACACAGTACTTTTCTAGTCAAAACAGTTTCAATCGTTCTTACTAAGGGTATTCGAATGTCATCTGTGCTACACTATAACATAACCCACCACAAGGACCCTACTAGCGTCATCGTGTGTGGACAACATCTTCTTGACTTCTATACCAAAATAATGCCATGAAATGATTCTAATCGAACATCATTTACGGTTTTGATCGATAATACGACAAGTTTTTCTTATTATCATATTGATATTCTATCTATCTTTCAGGAGGAAAATCGGTGTTGAAGAACTGCTTCAACATCATTTATCATGGTGTACAACGACCATCTAATGACATTTTCAATTGATTCTTAAGACGAAAAGACTTGCCTTGCATTTAATATAGAGATCACTCTGAGATCATGTATTTTTTAAAAACAAACCGAATAGTATTTAATTGTATCCTCCTTGACAACCAAAATCAATCGAGCTCTTTCTCTGCCATGAAGGAACGTTGGAGGTGTGTCAATAAGTACACATTGTTCTGAAGAAGTACATTCCTGAGGTAAGATGTTGAGTTGGTTCTCGAAGGAAGCAAAACTCATTTCGAATAAAAGTGTCACTTAAGCATTCATTGCTTACTAGTTGTTATCTCGGAATGAACAAGGTAATTAAATCGATTTCTTGACTCACTTTATGTAGCATTTGTAATAACTAACTCAGTAAATAAGCATGAGGCAATCAGAAAAATGACTAGAATATTTAAACTATTTGTGGAACCGACAATGTTTTGATGATTGTAGGGGCGATTTATAAATTGTAAGCAAATGAATATTCATACAAATAGAGAATTGCCTCTTCAATATCAACAGCAGCTTCACATCTGCACAGGAAAGGCTGCTACCCTTTTGGGTTTAGCTTTGATATCTACTGAACCTTCATAAAGAGTTAGCCATTAACAATGCAGGTAGTAATTTAGATGGAATACTCCCTCATAAAGAATAATCCATATATGTCAGCACACAATTGCGAGTTACCTTCAGTATCAGTTGAATACTTTTCTATAAACACTGATCTTTGTTATAAAAATTGTGATGTTAATGTTGTACTCTAACATTTGTACAACACATAAGACTGCCCATGTGGTTGGGCTGGGACAATGGTTGCATTGGTGTAGCACTGTAATGCAGGACCATTCTTTCGAACCCGTTCGAAAAAATATCAAGTTCAAAATCTTTCGAGGGATCAGTGATTACTCAGAATTATCTAGGAGGGATTAAAAAATGTTGACTCGATTGAGAATAGTGAAAGCAACTCGTCTACAGGCCGATTATGCACACTCAACATCTTTCATGATTCCCATCACTTCCAACGCATGGCGCATGTAACAAGTAGTTCCTTGCAGAAGTCATTAACATCAATCCTTACTGAAGTTTTATTCATATAGAATCACGTGGAAAGTTCCAAGATAATCAGCTTACAAACTAACCTTGGCGCCTCATTAATATTCAAGTTCTAGAGGATTCAGATATCCATAGCACTTTAAAGATTTTTACAATAACTGGAACTACCTCATATAATTAATTATATATGAGTGACTGAACATCGTTTTTAGGTTGATCTTTATATTTCCTGTTCTAATTATGCTATTAAAATATTAATTCGGTGTTATCAATGACATTTTTCGAAGCACAAGAATACAATGAAGTGATTTATAGAGCTGAACATTATTAATTTTATTTTGTACAAAATTACAATTTACTCACTCATAGAGCTCAGCAAACTGTCCACATTGGAACCGTCAATAACTGATCCCCAGTAGTAAGGCACTGCACAAGCAAGCTCATGTGCTCTGCAAAAATCAAGGAGGACAGCTTATTCCCCTTTCAAAATATAATCGGCATAAATTTTTTCATGATAATATACAAAATGAATGTATTTTCCTTGTACTGATAATTGAACGGTCAACGTGAGGTGTTCAATATACTGACGGTGTCAACAAGAAGTAGTCAGTGATTGTTCTGTGTAGTACTCAGTTTTTGCCACGTTCGACTTCAAACGAAGTTGTTTCTGTTCGTTTTTTTGATGTTTATGTCGTAGATGACAGCTGTACTGAACAATTATAGCTTTCTGCGTTGATGATGAGGCTGAGAGCATATTTCTTTTGCCGAGAGTAGAATCAGATAAAGTGCAGTTATAAGCATGTAACAAAAGAATAACAAATAAACAACAACAACTGTCAGGCATGATGGGTATGGATAAAGACGATGAAATTGGTGTTCATCGTACATGCATATATATGTGGAGATCCAGTAATGTTCAGATCAATGCCGTTTGCAAGTCCGGGCATCTAGCCTTAGCTCACACTGATCGCAGAAATCAATAACCAAAAACAATCTTATGAAAATCTTTGGAAATTCAATAAATACCTCATTTAATCTAACTCAAAACATTGGTTTGAGGTTGAACTAGAAATACATTTGAAGGCTAGTGCCATATTGAATACATATGTAAAAGATAGGATACACTTTCGTGTTGATCCATCACTGTTGCACGAATCGCCTACGTACTCGTTTTCAACGTAACATCGTGGAAACGATTGGATAAGAAGAGAGTGATCTATACATTGATTTGAGTTGACCTCTCTTCACTAAGTCAGTGCTATTTATATTGCCCAGATTTTCATGGCTCCAATTTGTCGACGCCAGAGCGAATGCGG